CCATAGAAAATCATTATAAATAAAACACGTAATGTAGCTTAATGGACAAAGACAATGATATAAAAGAGCTGTAGACATTTTATTCTATATGGAAAAACACTTCATGCAAAACTTTGTGTGTTGCGTTTATTCTGGGCTCACCTGCTTGCCTGTATATTAGTTATGTAGGCTATATTTTAATAATGAAGAGCACGTTTTGCAGTGTGGGAGGAAAATACTATATACATATTCATTATATTAATAAACTGTATATTGAATTTGATATTTTAATAGCATCTTAATACATTAAGCCATGTTAAGTGTTTGTTTTTCTACAGGAGGAAAACGCTTAACGAGAGACTTTGCGCATTGCGTTCATATTCTGCTGTACTGTGGCCACAGATTTGCGGGTCTTGTCTTTTTCTCCTACAGATGGCTTGCAGGACCCTGTACGTTACGATACAAAATTAGTTTTAATCGTTTAATCACCACAGCGTCTTGTCTCCATTGGCAACACGCATGATTTGTGTCGATTGCAAGTGACGTCGCAGGTATCGGAGAGTGCAAGTGGCTATTGCAAGTGACTTTGTAATTTAGTTTATTTTTTCTTGTCTTCACAACCTGGCTACTGTTATAAAATGTTGAGAGATTCAAACAAAAAGAATAATTAATAGAACAAAATAAAAAAATAAAGACTGCAAGTGACGTCGCAGGTATCGGAGAGTGCAAGTGGCTATTGCAAGTGACTTTGTAATTTAGTTTATTTTTTCTTGTCTTCACAACCTGGCTACTGTTATAAAATGTTGAGAGATTCAAACAAAAAGAATAATTAATAGAACAAAATAAAAAAATAAAGACTGCAAGTGACGTCGCAGGTATCGGAGAGTGCAAGTGGCTATTGCAAGTGACTTTGTAATTTAGTTTATTTTTTCTTGTCTTCACAACCTGGCTACTGTTATAAAATGTTGAGAGATTCAAACAAAAAGAATAATTAATAGAACAAAATAAAAAAATAAAGACTGCAAGTGACGTCGCTAGCGGAAGCGCAAGTCTGAGAATCCAAGTCTGAGAGTGCAAGCACAAGTCTGCAGCCAGACCCTTTTGAACACGATGGAGTTCCTCAAGTTCATGTGCTTCTCTGGATTTTCTTAGGTCCCGCCCCCTCCTCCTCCTCCTCCTCCACCACCACCACCACCGCTGCTAAACACAGCTGGCCCCGCCCCTCAGCAAAAACTAACCAATGGAACAACAGGCCACAAGCAAGCTCCTGCACTACAAAAGGTGACAGTTCCTCATTTAACCCAGGACAACTGGAATTACAGTTTTAAACTCTTGCACAAGTGCGATAATGCCACAAGATAAATCCTCTTTCATGCTAATGTCTTTCTGTCTCTTTTAGGGTGGTAAAGTGGGTAGTGAGCGCCCTATTCAGCGCTCTAAGAAGGTGAGAGACAACAAACCAAAGGTGAAGAAGCTGAAGTATCACCAGTATGTTCCTCCAGACCAGAAACCCGATCGTGAGCCTCCACCTCTGCTCGACGACTCCTACGCCAAACTCCTCTATCAACAGCAGCTCTTCCTCCAGCTGCAGATCATCAACCAACAACAGCAAAACTACAACTACCACACCATCCTGCCTGCTCCACCCAAGTAAGATATGCCAGACACATTTCTGATTATTACCAATGCTGAAAACCGCTGTGCTGCTTCACATTTTTGTAGAAACCATGAAAAAAAATGTTGGGATTCTTTGATCAATAGGATGTTCAAAAGAACAGTGAAATAGTAATCTTTTGTAACATTATAAATTATTTTACTGTCACTTTTGATCAATTGAATGCATCCTTACTGAATAAATCTAAATATTGATAATGATATAAGTATTTTATTAATAAAAATAAAAGGAGTTTACTTCAAAATAATAATTAGGCTAAACTTCAGCAAAATAAAAGTAAAATTCCACTATTTTTAATGAAGATCTAATAGTTTATAATAGTTTAAAATAAAATTATATTATTCTTTACATCTGTGTATGATATGAATATAAAATTGATTGCTATTTATATTTATTTATTTGGTTAAAAATCAATCTATATTAGAAATAAATAAAAAAATCATACCAGCTTTGCAGTAATGTTCAGTACATATTTAACAAATAAAATTCATAGCAATCAATTATTTCTTTCTTATATGTGTATGAAAACCTACATGCAAATAATTTTTTTTATTTTAACATAGTAGTAAAGTTGCTTTTTAAGTAGCTGTACAGCAAGGCATCAGTCGAAACGGTGCATCCATCAGCTAATTGCACATTGCATATGAGCTGCTTCTAGTGTAGACTGTTGATTATGCGTGCAATGTAGTTTTGTTGTGCTGTACCGCTTGTGTCTGGTGACACGGTATTCCCAAAATATGGATTTATTACATTTATACAATTATATACTGTAGCTGTTTCTCAAAGAGTAAATTCTGAATAGCTCTTAATATTGATGTATTTGCCATTCCTGTCCCTTTCAGGTGACCTCTCCTCTTACCCAGCTCTCCTTGCAACCTTCTCCTCCTCTCCCTTCCACGGTCCGCATTAAAGAGGAGCCCGGCAGCCGGACGTCTCCATCCTCCTGCTGTCTGGTGTCCCAGTCTGCGGCACCCCTTATAGACAAGGACCAACGAATAAAAATGGGAAACTTCAGGATGAGCAGTTGTGAAACCGTGAAGCGTTGCACCACAGCAGCTAGAGGCTGATGTACGTGTCAAAGCTGCGAGTGTTCACTCACCACAAACCATTCGATGTGAGCTTGAGGCAACACATTATTAATGAAATCAGTTATATCAAAATAATAGTTAGGTTAGATTTCTTTAGTAGAAATCTGGTGGTTATGAAATTGATAAAAATATATTAATTTATATTAGAATTTAAATACATTTAGTTTAAAAATAATATTTAATCTAGACTTCAGCTATCTTTGTTTTTAAAGAAAATCTGTTAGTCTAAATATTGATAATGATATCATAAGAACAAATAAAATTCATAGCAATCAATTATTTCTTTCTTATATGTGTATGAAAACCTACATGCAAATAATTTTTTTTATTTTAACATAGTAGTAAAGTTGCTTTTTAAGTAGCTGTACAGCAAGGCAGCAGTCGAAACGGTGCATCCATCAGCTAATTGCACATTGCATATGAGCTGCTTCTAGTGTAGACTGTTGATTATGCGTGCAATGTAGTTTTGTTGTGCTGTACCGCTTGTGTCTGGTGACACGGTATTCCCAAAATATGCATTTATTACATTTATACAATTATATACTGTAGCTGTTTCTCAAAGAGTAAATTCTGAATAGCTCTTAATATTGATGTATTTGCCATTCCTGTCCCTTTCAGGTGACCTCTCCTCTTACCCAGCTCTCCTTGCAACCTTCTCCTCCTCTCCCTTCCACGGTCCGCATTAAAGAGGAGCCCGGCAGCCGGACGTCTCCATCCTCCTGCTGTCTGGTGTCCCAGTCTGCGGCACCCCTTATAGACAAGGACCAGATGCTGCAGGAGAAGGACCGGCGCATTCAGGAGCTCACACGCATGCTGCTGCAGAAACAGCAGCTGGTCGAATCTCTGCGCTCGCAGCTGAAGGGCAAGCGTGTGGGCGCGCCGGTCCGAGTGAAAGAGGACCTTCCTGGTGTCACTATGGAGCTGATCAGAGCGACCGTTAAGGAAGAGGTCATAGAGGTGATGGAAGACAGCGAGATGGTGACAGAGCCGCAGGTGTTCCCGCAGGCAGGGCAGATGCAGCAGCAAAGGACGGTGACTGCAATAGAGCTGGAGCAGGACCAGCAGCAGCTTATAATGCAACAGAATCGGCGCAACCTGCAGCAACAAGTACATCAGAGGAAGAGGAAAACACAAAAACAACAGCACAACCAACAAAAACAAGTCAGTCCAATGTCCTTTTTGAGATTAATCATATGAAGCGTTAACACTCATCTAATTAGAGCAATTAAAAAAAACAGTTCCAAAACTTGGGACTGGTTCCTGCTTTGAGTCATGATCCCTTCACAAAGGACCTAGTTTCTCAATGTATAAACCAGGATAACTACCGCTAACTAAAACTAAACATTTTTTAAAATTAGATTAGATTAAAAATATTAGATGAAAAACTTGAAAAATGCTGCCTTGGCAACTAAATTTTACACACTAAAATTACTGGAAATAAATAAAAACTAAACAAAAAATAAATAAATCGTAAAAGTAGCCTTGTGGGCAGTTCAAATCCAGACTCGAGGAACTTTCCCGATCCCGCCCCCCTCTCTATCCCACTTCGCTTCCTGTCTCCTCTGCACTGGCCTATCATAATAAAGGATAAAATGCCAAAAATAAATCTTTAAAAAATAAAATAAATCATAAAAAAGAGGAAAAACTAGTAAATGACAAAAACACGTAACAAAATTACAAAAAAAATGTATTAAAATATTTTAGAGCTATTTTAAAAATTAAGACACCAATGAATTTACTTTTTCTGGTGGAATTGGACTACTTTTATACTGATGCCACAGGTTGTTTTTTAGGAGGTTTTGACTACCCAGAACATGATTTTTTGAGTGATTTTTGGTGCAATTTTGATGCTACTTTCCCCAGGATTGCGAGTCAGCTAGTTTGGGGTGTGATTGAGTTAGTTTTCAGTACCAGTTGGGCTGGTTTTGTTACGGAGACCTGGCAACCCTGGTTGTCACTGTATTTTCAGAGTACTTTTAGGAGAAAAAGGATTTTTACACTTTTTCTCTGAACATTTCCCTTGACACCCTAGCACTACATCTCAGCCTCCTGGGGTTATGTTTGCGGCACAGCAGTAGTCAGACATTGAACTTTTATTGTAATGGAAAATCATGGCACATCTCATGTTTTCTGCTAACCTTTCTTCTTTTCCATTTTTCCAGCAGTTGCCTCAAGCACTTACCAACCAGCAGGCAAGTCCTGTTTCTTCATTCCCAGTGGATGTACTGGACTCGAACTCCACCCCCACCATAGTGACCGACAGCAATGGCAACCAGTTCCTGCTAACACTGTCGAATCAAAACACAGAGACACGGGCCAGAGGCCGCCGCGCCCAGAACAAAGTAAATAATCAGATTAAACTTGTGCCTCAGTGCTTAGAGATGTCAAAATCTATACAATGATCATGTAATCATTGATGTTTATGTCGTTTTCAGAGACTACAGTCTACACCCACCATGTTTACCAACCAATCCGTGACTGAATTCCTTAACAAAAACAACCAATCAGAACAGCCCATACAAACCGTCATTTTGAAACAGCCAATCAAAAAGGTTAGTACAAAAACACTTTATTGCTGTGTTTTTACACACTTTTTTTTTTTTTAATAGTGTGTGAAATTAAGTATACAACTTGAATGTGGAATACATACATGACCGTATAATTTTATGTAAAAATGTCTTAAATTTTGTCAGTCTGATCAAATAATGAACGGAGAAAAAGATAAGTCTCAGCCGATATTACTTCTAGTTCAATTGCCACATTCATTCTTTAAGCTGTTAATGTTAATAGTTATTATAAAACGGATAGTTCCGGTCCTTGATTCTGATTGGATGAGCCACGTTCGAAGCTGTTGTAAATTACTCTACAAACATACACCTTTGTTTAAGTTTGTCTGTTGCTTGGCAGCCACTTTGTTGGAACCACAACTGTTTCTGAGGAACTACATTGTTTGGTGGAAGAATACTGTTTATTAATATCATTACACTTTATTTGCTCTGTTTTATTTTGTGAAACCTTACTACGTATATGGAATAACCGTTTTATAAAAGCAATAAGCCCCGTGAAGTCGTGGTTTACACTGAATTTATAACAGCTAAGGGGGTTTAAGGCACTCCGCTTCGCGTCGTGCTTAACAACGGCCCTTAGCTGTTATAAATTCACTGTAAACCACGGCTTCTTGGGGCTTATTGCTTTACTCTATGATAGCTAATAGGGAAGGACTTTTGCAGAAAACTGCCATCATTCCTCCATATAAGTTAATGATATGTATAAAGCAACATCAGTTATTCCTGACAAGTCATTGAACACGGTTATGAGACTTTTAAACCCACTTATTAAAATGTTAATGACTAATCACAGTCACTGGTGTTCAAATGAGGGCTGCAGGCATGGGCTATTAGCCCATTAACATTGGGACTAATTGAGATGCATGTTTTTACTTTGACAGGCACTAAAGCCAGACCTAAATGTGACGACCAATTACAAAGCATCAAGCTGCACATCCATCTCATCACCAGCCAACATCCAACCGTTCCTCTCTCCAGTGGATTCCATGAACGACACTGAACCCGTCCCCTCATCTCCCAACAACAACAACGTAAGTGTCTGGTTTGTGTACATGCTAAAGATCTGTTCCAAAACCTGGTGTGCTAGACATCATAACTGAAAATTCAGCTTTGCATCACTGGAATAAATTACATTTTAAATTATGTTCAAATAAAAAACTGTTATTTTATATTGTAATTTTACTGTTTTTACTGTATTTATGATCAAATAAAGGTAGCCTTGGTGAGCGTAAGAGACTTCTTTCACAAACATTTAAAAAAATCTTACCAACCCCAAACCTTTAAACGGTAGTGTATTTAAGTAATGATACGCTTTAATGAACACAGCAAACCTTGTAAACATTCACAGTGCAGACTAGAAAAAAAAGATTCCCTTGTCTAAAGTCTTCCCAAGAAGCTAACCAGAGTCATGAATAACCTGGAGTCCGTTCAAAAACACTCACAAATTTGGAGTTTGCTCTTCACAAGAAGCACTGCCTGATGTGAAGCATGCCTCGAGCCAAAGAGATCTCAGAACACCTAAGATTGAGAACTGTTGACTGTGTAAAGCTGGGAAGAGTTACAAGAAAGGGTTTTGGAGCAGTGCTTGTGTTTGTGTCTGTACTCTATGTAAAGACTGTCTTGGGGCCAGCAAGAATCTTTTCTAAAACGAAATAACAAAATCTATGTCATACGAGACAGGAATTCTAATAAGAGTTGTGTCTAGACTGCTATACGGCACAGATTCTGTTAGTGGAGTACGGATTTATAGGTCTGTGATATAAATAGAGCGCAGCTTGTGTCTTATTTTATGTAAAAATGTCTTAAATTTTGTCAGTCTGATCAAATAATGAACGGAGAAAAAGATAAGTCTCAGCCGATATTACTTCTAGTTCAATTGCCACATTCATTCTTTAAGCTGTTAATGTTAATAGTTATTATAAAACGGATAGTTCCGGTCCTTGATTCTGATTGGATGAGCCACGTTCGAAGCTGTTGTAAATTACTCTACAAACATACACCTTTGTTTAAGTTTGTCTGTTGCTTGGCAGCCACTTTGTTGGAACCACAACTGTTTCTGAGGAACTACATTGTTTGGTGGAAGAATACTGTTTATTAATATCATTACACTTTATTTGCTCTGTTTTATTTTGTGAAACCTTACTACGTATATGGAATAACCGTTTTATAAAAGCAATAAGCCCCGTGAAGTCGTGGTTTACACTGAATTTATAACAGCTAAGGGGGTTTAAGGCACTCCGCTTCGCGTCGTGCTTAACAACGGCCCTTAGCTGTTATAAATTCACTGTAAACCACGGCTTCTTGGGGCTTATTGCTTTACTCTATGATAGCTAATAGGGAAGGACTTTTGCAGAAAACTGCCATCATTCCTCCATATAAGTTAATGATATGTATAAAGCAACATCAGTTATTCCTGACAAGTCATTGAACACGGTTATGAGACTTTTAAACCCACTTATTAAAATGTTAATGACTAATCACAGTCACTGGTGTTCAAATGAGGGCTGCAGGCATGGGCTATTAGCCCATTAACATTGGGACTAATTGAGATGCATGTTTTTACTTTGACAGGCACTAAAGCCAGACCTAAATGTGACGACCAATTACAAAGCATCAAGCTGCACATCCATCTCATCACCAGCCAACATCCAACCGTTCCTCTCTCCAGTGGATTCCATGAACGACACTGAACCCGTCCCCTCATCTCCCAACAACAACAACGTAAGTGTCTGGTTTGTGTACATGCTAAAGATCTGTTCCAAAACCTGGTGTGCTAGACATCATAACTGAAAATTCAGCTTTGCATCACTGGAATAAATTACATTTTAAATTATGTTCAAATAAAAAACTGTTATTTTATATTGTAATTTTACTGTTTTTACTGTATTTATGATCAAATAAAGGTAGCCTTGGTGAGCGTAAGAGACTTCTTTCACAAACATTTAAAAAAATCTTACCAACCCCAAACCTTTAAACGGTAGTGTATTTAAGTAATGATACGCTTTAATGAACACAGCAAACCTTGTAAACATTCACAGTGCAGACTAGAAAAAAAAGATTCCCTTGTCTAAAGTCTTCCCAAGAAGCTAACCAGAGTCATGAATAACCTGGAGTCCGTTCAAAAACACTCACAAATTTGGAGTTTGCTCTTCACAAGAAGCACTGCCTGATGTGAAGCATGCCTCGAGCCAAAGAGATCTCAGAACACCTAAGATTGAGAACTGTTGACTGTGTAAAGCTGGGAAGAGTTACAAGAAAGGGTTTTGGAGCAGTGCTTGTGTTTGTGTCTGTACTCTATGTAAAGACTGTCTTGGGGCCAGCAAGAATCTTTTCTAAAACGAAATAACAAAATCTATGTCATACGAGACAGGAATTCTAATAAGAGTTGTGTCTAGACTGCTATACGGCACAGATTCTGTTAGTGGAGTACGGATTTATAGGTCTGTGATATAAATAGAGCGCAGCTTGTGTCTGTTAACATCTTAAGACCTTTATTGAGACATACATGTTTACCATTTTGATAGTTTGGCATGGTATCACGATCCTTAACAATCCTGCTTAATCTGACTCTAAAACCTCTCCTCTTTTTTTAACCACATTACATATCATTTATTTAATAAGCACCACAAAAACAGGTCAAACGGCTACTACTATTCAAGAGTTCAGAATTCAGGAGACTTGGAATATAGTGTATTAATAATACGGGCTACTTTTATGGTGCATATGTTACGTTTTGGTGTATTTTTGTCCTGTAAACTACTGTTTATGGAGATGAACTGCATGGAAATTCATTGGAAATCACCTGTTAGTGTTCCATACTAATAATGACAGAACGAAACCTTTAATATGCATCCATGTCTGTCTATCAGGAGGAGATGTGTGTGAGTTTGGACCAGCATGCTTTGCTCTCTCCTTCCACCTTGTGTTCGCCCATAGCTCTTTGTCATCAGGTACTGTCTCGTCCTCCATCTTTCTTCCATCTTCTGTTGAACTTCTGTTGTTCCCCTGCGAAATTTACTTATTTTCTTTTCATATTAATGTTTCTGACCATTAATTTGTGTTGAAATCCACGATTTGTCACCACTTGGGACTGATTTAGGATTTGTTATTCCTATTTCATTTGAGCGATTTCATGGATTTCGGGGATCAGATCCAAGGCCTGATTATTGAACGAGATCCCAGTATCTAATGATGTTGATGTTTTTGCAGGAGAATGGCTGCCATCATCAGGTTGATGACCTGTTTGACATCCTAATTCAGCATGGAGGTGATTTTTCATAATTATTGTCATTTAAAGCAAGTTAGATGAGAGAAGCGTATAGCTGCTCACACTCTTTGTTTCCTGCATCCTACAGAAATCTCTGAGAATTTCAAAGCCGCACCTGATCCTGTTCTCGAAAGGCTTCGGCCGAACACGCCACTTTCCTCAAGCTCCTCCCCTCTCGGTCTGTCCCGTCCTCCTGATATGCCCCTCAAAACTTTAATTTTAGAACCTCAGCCTCCTTCAATTAAGACGCACGGCAACTGTGACACAGGAGGTGGGCGTCTTGAAGATTTCCTGGAAAGCACTACTGGCAAACCTTTGCTGGGAGTGGAGCCAGGAGGACCAACGACGCTAATTGTTGACCTCCACAACCAAATGCTCAGCACACCGAGTATCCTAGACCACCCACGTTCCCCAATGGATACATGTGACATGAGTTTTTCCAGTCACTCGCCTTCAGATTTGATAGACTCCGCCCCAGATCCTATGGATTGGCTGGAGCTCGGAATGGGCGGGACTGGAGGGGAGGGGCCTGGGATGGTACATATGAATGGACACAGCTCCTCTAGCTTATTTTCCACAGACTTTTTGGACACTTCTGATATGAATTGGTCCAGCTTATAGCTCATGGGATATCGCAGACTGCAATATTTTTGGAAGGGCCTATTGTGGATTAGCTTCCTTCGCATAGTACAGTTTATATTTGTTTCCACCAGTGAGTTTTCCAGTTTGGATTCAAGTATGGATTTTCGGAATACTAACTTAAATTGGATTATGTTACATATTGACAGACTTTATCCTTCACCTTTGCTTGCACTAATGCTCACACCCCTGATAGCACACATATGTCACAGAGCCGTTTACATATCGTTTTTATCTGGGTGTCATTTGTTCATCTGAAACACTTTGCTTAACCCTTTTAAATTTGGATATTAGAACAAGATATTTTTGTGTTTTTATCATTTAAAATACTCTTATATTAATGACACTTACGTGAAACGAGATGCTTTCTAGATGATGGACTCTTTGAAACGTCTCGGTGATGTATGTGTGCTTATGGAAATATCCCCTGATTTTGCATCAGTTTTAGCAAATTAATTCACTAAGTGCAGCTTTTGAGTTTCATTCACCTTTAAATTTGATTATGTAGCATTAAAGGAATAGTTTTTCTGATTTTACCTGCTTTACCAAATATAGCTAGTAGACTTGTACATAACTCAATAGCTTTGAAATATACACCTGGATTTTAATATTTATAGAATTGAACCAATGTTGCTAAAAATTTTATAGCATAAGCCAACAGATTTTGTAACCCATTTCTTAGCATTGGCATTCATATGTTACCATAAGCGTATTAATATTATTAAATATAATAATAACAACAATAATAATAGTAATAATAATTTGTTATTATTATTATTATTATTGATCATTAGTACTTAACACTGTTTAAATTCCGTTAGATCTTTGTTAAACAAGAGACTCTCAACAGGTATACATGTATCCACAGCTACTAATGTTCAACATTTTGTAGATGTGCCAAAAATATTATTTTATGGCTATATAGATAGCCTGTAAGCTATTCAATATTGTTTTGAAATATAATACAACAACTGGACTATGCTACTTTAGCTATTTTCTTTTTTTAATTTTGGAAAGACAAGCCATTCAAACCTTGTTTTTGTTAGCATTTGCTAGCATTGCAACCTGATGAGAGCTGCCAGATGAAGTTTTAATTGCGTAGTTAATTGCGTAGTTAATAGTACAAGATTAAACAATTCCCAGAGTGCTTGACAGTTAAGTGTATGACTCCGAACTAATAGCATTGTGTTACTGCTCGCCCTTGCCAGGTTTACATTACCAGTCTTCACCAAAGTACAGTAAGACTCATTTTTATCACAATTTAGCCAGCTTAAAAGAGGTATTACTGCTTCATATTTGTTAGATCCAGTAAATATTTTGATCAAACTGTGCATGCTATATACTGTAGAAGACATGGAGAGTTCTGGGAAATTACTTTATTACATTACGTTTTAATTTAATGTTCTTAAAAATATTGTGTCCATAGATCTGAACGGGGATATTGAAACATTTTACTGTATATATTTTGCATTGTATATGCCTATCACAGTACACAGCGTACTGTATGTACTGCACTGTATTTTATCAATACTTCTGTCTGTAGGCTGAAGTTTTGATGAAGGAATATGAGCCTATAAGAGATGATGAATGTTTCTCAGATGATCTGAATGTATAGATTTTAGTGTATAAAAGATTAAAAGATATACACAAGACATAATCGCATTTAATCAATAAGGAACATTCAAATTTCAAGGACCCTCAAACACATTTGTATATTATTACAGTTACTTTATGCATTGCTTTAATGTGCAGTTTTCGGTGCTTCTGCATATTGTACATGAGCTCAGGAATGAATTGTGTGTGTGTGTGTGTGTGTGTGTGTCGTCATTTGAGGGAACAGCATTACTGTCCGCAGTATTCACGCTCTCCATCTGTTTGAATTTGCACTTACAGAGTTTTGGCTGGTGCTTCTTGTGGCCCAAATTGAACTTCATATCCACATGATCTCCAGTCCACCTGCTGTACTCTGGAGAATCAAACTCCTCAATGTTTCGTTGGCTAATGGTATTCATTTGTGGGGCTTCAGAGCCTCTCAGGGCTTAATGTCTTTTAAGACTTTTTTATTTTTGGAAAATAAATTAAATGTTACAAATAACAATAAATTATCTGTGTGCTTTCCAGAAGGGAAATGGCAGTTTTGGTTTTAAAAAAATGTGTGGGTTAGAATGTTTGACTAGTGCTCGGTATCATATATTCTTACATACATGTCTGATAGACATAACCCTAAACTAATGTATTTATAGCGGGCTTCCTTAAAGGGACAGTTAACCCAAAAATGAGCAAGTGAATAATGATTACATTTCAGCACAAAGATATTTTATAGTTTCTGTAGACTTCAAATGTATGGCATAAGTCACATGGACAATTTTATTGTGCTTTTTTTTGTGTCATTTTGGAGCTCGACAGCCTGACTTTCATTAATATTTGTATAGCATAAACATTTATTTTTAAGGTCACTTGGAAGAAAGAAAGTCATCAGTTTGGGTGAACCATTCCTATAAGATTGGCTTGAGGGGCTTTCGCACCAGAGGAACCTTTTCATAGTTCCTAGAACTAAGTTCCCACTTTTTGGTGTGTTTGCACCACAGGAACTAGGAACATATCCTACTTAGTTCTAGGAACTCCGTTTGGGGGAACTAAATTAGCTCCTATTTCAGAGGAGGGTCTAAAACAGTTCTACCAGTGACATAAATGTAGGCTGATTGGCCAAACACACTGGCTACCTGGCATTTTTAAAAAGCTGTGTACAAATATTTACTCTACGAACATAGAAAACAGCGATAACGGCATTTACCTGTTGGTTCTTTTCTCAACACTGCAAGTTGTCAGGAGATTGTCTGATTTTCATGCACTTTCAATCGCGTAAATTGTGCGTTTACATTCCATCTCCGTTATCACGAAACCCACGACACACAACAAAAACAGCTCTAATCACGGCGTCCTCCAGACAGTTCACTCCTAAACGAATGGGAGAAACTGCAACACACTATATGGCGGAATAGTCCCGCCTTCTAAATGAAAGAGCCAATCGCTGATCGGTAAAGTCATTGCATCACTGCAGCAGCCGTTAGAAGCTCCGTTTCCCATAAAAACCTGAGGCTATACCAGCTAATGCACATGCACCGTCATAAGCACAATATAATTGCGCATGCACATTGGCTGGTCTAGCCTGAAAAATAGGCTTTTTTAATGCTATTTGAGCATAAGAAACAACATTCATGGGGCAGTTCATTTCAGATTTTGTTGCTGATTTGAAAAATGTAATTTAATTGTGACTTGAGCGAGCAGTTTTTGATATTTCAGGATTCCCCCATTAATTTAGATAGGACTTGGTCTTGTCTGAGCTGTCCAGAGGCGTTGCAAATACAGTACGAGTGAACAGACTTTCCTTGAAAGGTACTTTGACTGGTTGTTGACGTTTGTAAAAGCCGTGAATAAAGATGTCGCTGTCTGCAGTTTCTGTTGCCAGTGCGATTGCAACTAGGAAAACGGCCCGGGGGGAAATTGGTTCTGTAGGAGCCACCCTGCTGGCTAGTTCCTAGAACTACTGTACACGGTGTGAAAGACCCTTTTGAGATAAACCATTAACTACTAGTCTTAAAAAAAAAAAGTTAATTGGTATCTATGGTTCCATGAAGATCTTTTAACATCCATGGGACATTTTCATTGAAATAATGGTTCTTTACAGTGGAAAAGTTCTTCAAATTTTTCAAATGTTCTTCACAGTAAGAAGAAAAAGGTTATTTTAACTGTTCCCTGAAAGGTTCTTTGGGGAACCAAAAATGGTTCTCCAGTGGCATTGCTGTTAAAACACTTTTGAAACCTTTATTGTTAAGAATGTAGTCAATTTTTGTACATCCATGCTAAGCATTTTTGCATAGTATGCACACTTTTTGTACATATTGTTCCTATAAGACCCTTTAAATTCTGATTATGCAACAGGAGGCTTCACAATGCAATGTATTTGTTTTTAAACCGGACATGATGCAATCAACTTTTTTTTT